CCCTTATTCAAAAATTTGTAACTTGAGATACAAGCTTCAAATGAGAAAACTTTGTGAATCAAAGTTGTATATTATGTAACAAGCTATAACTTTCATGTTTTGACTTTTGTTTGAATCCAAATGAATCATGGTGAAAAAGTGGGGCAAAGTTGGGAAAAAATTAGGGTTTTCCATAACTTAGAAAAATTCTAAGTTATGAAAAATTCCATTTTTAAAACCCTAATTTGCATTTCTTGGTTTCTTGGTGAACAAGTTTCATGATTTGGCATGTTTTGATGAAAAATGAATCTTGACTCTTGATTTTGACCAAAAAGTCAAAGTTTGACTTTTCAGTGTACAGTCAAAATTGATCAATTGACTGAGAAATTCAACTGTCAATCTTGTGTACTTGGGATCTTTTGAGCTTGATGAATGTGTCAAGACCATTTCATTGAGTCCTTGAGTCCATATGTGAGCTTGGTTTGCCATTGGTTAGGTCAAACAGTCAAAAAATTGCCTTTGTGCAGTCAAAACCCTAAAAATGACCATTTCGCCCTTTTGGTGATCTGATCAAATTTCTTGTGGAATTGTGATCCAAACTTGATCAAATGGTCCATTTGAGTTCATAATGTTGATGTGGGTCAATTTTTATGAGATTTGACTGTCAATTGGCCACAGTTGACTTTTTCCCCAATACAGCTGATTTTTAGGTCAACTGTCCAATTGACTGGGTAAAACCTGGAATTAGGAATTGAAACTTGGTATGGGTAATCTTGTGAGTCAAACATGAAACATGAAAGTCATCTTAGGCATTTTAGGCCAAAACATCCTTGGGCAAACACAAACCCTAATTTGAGTCTACAGTGCAAGGAGAGGTCTTGAGCAGAGAAAACCCTAACTGGATCTTGATCTTCAAGGGTCTTGTGATGAGAAAATGTTGAGGAAATGGGAGGGCAAATTTTGGGGTACAACAGAGTGCCTTTCGACTGAGCCTGGACTTAGTGCAAGTGTGCCTCTGGCTGGGCCTGGAAGTCAGTGTGGAAACCAAAGGCTTCGTTTCATATTCATGTCTCCTGTTTCTTTCATTTCGAGCATTAAATGACAACATGGCCTGAGGCCATGCTAGTAAACAGTTTAACAACTAAAGCTAGTTCAGGCAAACAACAAGCAAAAACGAAAGGGTTTAGCTCTGAAAACATGTTAAAAGAGTGGAAACGAAAAGAACAGTAATATGTACATGTTTCAAACGAACGTAAAGATTATTTACATGTTATGTCATGCAACGAAAAGTTCAAAGGTAAGAAACTTACCTTGCTTCTGGACTTGAATGGATGTGGGACCTTGGGTGGAGGCCCAAGGTTCTGGATTTGACAGAGAGGGCCAACAGTTGTGCTTGGACTGCTGGATTCGAAGGAAGGAAAGAAACAAGTCTTATGTTTCTTTCCAAACTGGATTCAAAGGATACTGAAGAATACTTGTTCTTCAGAATCGAAGGAAGGAAATTCTGGGTTTGTTCTCACAAGTGTTGAAGGGACTTGAGAGATTTGTGATGTTTGAGAAAATTTGGTGTTTTTGAGAATTTCTGAAGATTCGTTCGACTGGCCAAATGATCCTCCTTAGCTTTGCATAAATTCTTGTATTTATAGAGAAAAAGAATGGACATGTCTTCAACAGCCAGCCTTGCAAAAAATAATAAAATACTGTAACGTGACAGTACAAGTGGAGGGGGGGGTGGGGCTGTTGGCAGCAACAGCAGTGGGGTGCAGAAGATGTGACTGAGGCCTCTGACGTTGCTTGTGCTCAGACCAAATTCAGTTTAAAAGCTGCTTTTGTTGATAAAGTACTCTCTGTTTGAAGAAAAAGTATGTAGCCTTTAACCAAGAATAGTAGTATCCAGAAGGTAAAGTTTAAAACCTTTGTACAAGCTTCTGACTATATTAAGATTTGGAAGCAACAGCCTGGCAAACGAGATTTGGTCTTGTGCAAGAGTGAGATCGAAGCACACCTGTTTGAAGGAAACCTTTGCCTCAGTCGAAGCCTGTGGTCGAAACAAGCTAACTCGAAGGAAGCTATTGCCCAATCGAAAGCTCCTGCTCGAAGGAAGCATATTGCCCAATTGAAACTCATGCTCGAAGGAAGCATATTTCCCAATCGAAAGTTCGTGTTCGAAGGAGGCTTAGAGTTCAACATGAAGGACATATCCAAGTTGCATTCGAAGGAGGCTCTTGCTCCAATGAAGTTTTCATCCAGGCACACAGAAGGTGAGTGCCCAAACGAAGACTTGCCTTGCAGGGGGTATATGTGACCAGTAGGTCATGACCTTCGATTGCAAGCATGCAGGCAGCAAAAGACACGAACGAAACCTGCAACAAGAAGTCACATGCCCAGGCGAAATAGGCACGCTAGAAGCCACTTTGAGCAATCGAAGGAAGCCAAGAGTCAATCGAAGGATGCTGATCGAAAGAGGCCTAAAGGCCAATCGAAAGAGCTGAAACGAAGTACACTTGTATTTCTCCAATTTTTGTCAAAATAATATTTTTATTTGTTTTCTCCATTTTTGACAGTTTACTTTTAATTTTGGTACTGGAAAATTCTAATGCACTTGTTCAAGCTTGAACTTTGAGAATCCTTGTGAGAAAGGCCTTGATAATTGAGAGGGCAAATTTTGGGGTACAACATCAACACATACAAAAGCTATCGAAGTAAAGTGGGTGTTTAAGTTGAAACACAATGCAGATGGGTCAATAGCAAGACATAAAGCAAGATTAGTAGCTTGAGGTTTTCTTCAAAGAGCAGGACTTGACTACTCTGAAGTATTTGCTCCAGTAGCAAGATTAGAGACTGTTCGACTAGTAGTAGCATTGGCATGCAACCAAGGTTGGTCAACATTTCATCTAGATGTGAAATCGGCATTTTTAAATGGTCCTTTAGACGAAGAAGTTTATGTCACACAACCTCCTGGGTTTGTGATTCAGAAGGAAGCGAGTAAAGTATATAGATTGCACAAAACACTCTATGGCCTCAAGCAGGCACCTAGGGCATGGAACAAGAAGATCGACTCATACTTAGTCGAATTAGGATTTGTCAAATGCAAATCAGAGTATGGTGTCTATGTTCAGGTTGTAGCACAAGATATAACAATTATTTGCTTGTATGTTGATGACTTGCTAGTAACTGGAAATAGTTTGGAGAACTTGTCGAAGTTCAAAGAGCTGATGACGAAGGAATTTGAAATGTCGGATCTAGGAAAATTGTCTTATTTTCTAGGCATAGAATTTCAAATGTTGAAGCAAGGTATGGTGCTATATCAAAGAAAGTATGTCAAGGAAATACTCAAGAGATTCAGAATGGATGATTCAAATCCTGCATCCTCACCTGCCGAACCAAATGTGAAGTTGGAGAAGAATGGAGAGGAAGACAAAGTCGATGCAACTTTATTCAAGCAAATTGTGGGATCTCTGAGGTATGTGTGCAATAGTCGACCTGATATAGGTTTCACAGTCAGATTAGTAAGCAGATATATGGGTGAACCAAGAGTGTCACATATGAAGGCTGCAAGAAGAATCCTTCGATATTTGAAGGGTTCAATAAATTGTGGAATACTATTTCGACGAGATTCTGAAGGAAAAGAAGCAATAGTTAATTGTTTTTCAGATGCTGATTGGTGTGGAGATAAGGAAGATCGAAGAAGCACAACTGAATATTTCTTTCAAGTATTCGGTGCCCCAATCTCATGGTGTTCGAAGAAGCAACCTGTGGTGGCATTGTCATCGTGTGAAGCTGAATATATAGCGGGATCCTATGCTGCATGTCAAGCAATTTGGATCAGATCTGTACTTGAAGAAATGACTGTCGAAGTGAAGAAACCTCTAGTATTGCAAATCGACAACAAGTCAGCCATAAATCTGGCGAAGAATCCAGTTTTGCATGGAAGAAGTAAACATATTGAAGCAAGGTTTCACTTCTTGAGGGAAAAAGTAAATCAAGGTGAACTTGAAGTTAGGCATTGCTCAAGCGAAGCACAGTTAGCTGACATTTTCACCAAATGATTGAAAATCGACAGATTCTTGAATTTGAGAAAGAAATTAGGAATAGTTCAGATTGACTATTTTTGAGGATGTTCGACAACTTGGATTATGGGGGTGCGTTGAAATATTAAATTAGATTAGATTTGATTTGATTAAATTTAATATTTAATATAATCTAAGTTGTGTTAGCCCAAGCCTAATTAGGGTTGTATATAAATAGTCATAGTGTGTATCATTATTTGTACACTTGAATAATACAAATCCTTATTTTCTTTATTATTCTATTTTTTTCTCTTCACTAAAAGTGTCTCACACACTAGCACTTACTCTTTTTTTTTTTTTTCCGTTTTGTCAAACGGTCACAGTCATGACTTTGTCTCTAGAGGGAGGCGTTATTGTTATTAGTATATGGTAGTTGTTGTATATGGAGTTGAAGTAGCAAGCATCCGTGTAACCTTCTAAAACCTATGCATAAAATAGTTGTTGATGAGTTTTACTTTTATCATAGAGTTGTTTTTGTTTTCGTTTTTATATATCCACCCATTGGAGATAATATAATCGAGATCTATGACATACTAAACATTGAAATTTCTTAAAATTAGTATTCAAACATTTATTCTACACATGGTAATGATAAGAGTGGTATAACTCCTCTCTAGATTAAACTCCTGTTAGTTGATTTAAAGTTTAATAGTTAATATGAATATCATTGTAAACAAGTTGATTATTGATCCTGTCTTTTATCATACAATATAGAACTTGATGGTGACCCTTTTAACCATTCAAGTCAAACATGGGAAAGCTTCAAAGCCTTCATACATGCAATGACCTGCTCCTAGCTTCCTTCTATCCTATACGTATTCATGTTCCCACCCTATTTGTTCCTACACACCATTGAATACTAATTCATCTATATAACAACAAACTCTCTCAAACATTTACATTGATCTCACTTACTTCTTCTTGAGCCAACCTTTCCGAGACCAAAATAACATGACTGATAGAACTCACCCTGCTAATGATTTGGAGTCACAAACCAAACCTACAATTCCTTTGTATCCTCGAAACATTTCGAAGTCCGATAGACGTGACCCGTTGCAACATGAATATTTCAATCCACCTATTCCAAAACGTAAGTTTCAAGTGAGGCACTCCCTGCCACCAAAGAAGAAAAGAAGTTGTTGCTGCAGGTTCCTGTGCTGTACCTTCACCATATTGCTGATCCTTATTATTGCAATATCCATCACCATTGGAACACTCTACCTTGTTTTTAGGCCAAAGCTTCCTAAATACTCAGTAGACAGATTGAGAATAGCACAGTTCAATCTGTCTGATAATAACAATCTTTTTGTTACCTTCGATGTAACAGTAACTGCTAGAAATCCAAACAAGAAGATTGGAATATATTATGTAAGTGGAAGCAATATAAGTGCTTTATATAAAGAAACAGAATTATGTGAAGGGTCTTTGCCTAATTTCTATCAAGGTCATCGGAATATAACCGTGCTTAATCTACCTTTAACGGGTCAAACACAGGATGCAACTGGTTTAGTAAATACTTTGCAGCAGCAGCTGCAAGAGAAAGGTAATTTACCTCTGAATATTAAGGTGAATCAGAATGTGAGGGTTAAGATCGGTAAGTTGAAGCTGTTTAGAGTAAAGTTTCGTGTTAGGTGTGAGGTTGTGGTGGATAGCCTTGGTGCTGATAATGATATTAGCATTTCAGATAGTAGTTGTAAGTTCAAGCTCAGGCTATGAATTCATTAGTACTAAGTTAATTAGTAGAGTATGTGTCATAGTTGTAATATTTATACTTGTTTTGTTTATTTATGGTTTCATTATGATGATTTAGATTTTGAATAATAAGGGATGGAGGATTGGGTGTTCTACTCATCAGCCCTTTGAAACACATTCAGTTCTTGTACTTTGATTCTATTTGTTTAATCCCAAGTATTGCTAGTTTTTTTACACTCTGTAAACCGTAACCAAGTGTTTGAGAGAAGATTCTTGTCATACTAAAAAAAAGCTTTCATAAACCAGAAGCTGAATGAATAATGCATAATCAAGCACATATAGTGATTCAATAAACCCTCTTCCATCATTTGAAAGTAAAGTGCAATGGCATCATCGTAAAGGTCCATTTGACCATATCTTGATATGAAGATCAATCCCAGCATGAATAAATAAATATTAAAATGCGTAAAAGTAAAATCAATTATAAGTCAAGATATAAAAAATAAAAAAAAACAATCAATTCTATCATCACAAACTTGAAATCTACTCAATGAAAGAGTTACTCACTCTCTTTCAATATAAATATTTTATTTAATTGTACATAATTTATTAGAAAATGATTAATAGTGTCAATTTTAATAATAAAATAAATTTAATTGCTTTTGTAAAAAGATTTTTAAAAAATAGACATTTTAAGTAATTTCTATATCTCCCTCCTTTACTATTCAAATAATTTAATATTCTTTTCTGTTCTATATCTTTTATTTGATATTCATATTGTTCCGATAACTTTAAGAACATTAATATTAATTACACGTTTGTTCTTTCTGTCTAATTTGTTAGTCAAAATCACTAAAAAAAAAACTTAATTTTTTTATGAAAAAAATATCTAATTAACATTGATGTGGAAACACGAATGCTGAGTGAAAAATAATTATTATTTAAATTATTTTTGATTGTTTGATGAGTCTGATATACAAGGTTGAAAACTAAGAGAAAGAGTTTGGAAGGTCTCAAAATTGGTGTAAGGAGCAGTGGCAGAAAAAATGCAGAAATTATAAATGGAGTGAAATTTGTACTCAACAATGCAACAGTACAAATTACAATTTAAGATACCAATGGAAATGGCTAAGCCAATTGTAGTAATGAATACATGAAATTAAAAGAAGGATCTAGAAAAGCTAAAGCTTCAGGAAAAGAAGAGAGTCAGGTTTCCACCAATTAATTCCACCCCCAATCATTGGTGATTCCTCCACTATTTAACAAAGTCACCCACATACTTTCTGTTAGGAATTTTGGCTCTCATTCCACGTCCTTGCTCTTGGAGATTAGGATCGTGTGCCAAGTGTCCCTCCTCATCACAAGAATTAGTTACTGAAATGACTGATTTGCCCTTGTTCATAACATTACTCCCCTCATTAAGAATAACCTTGTCCTCAAGGTTGAAATTGGGATAGCATTGTGTAAACTCACTGCTGACTTCCCATGTAGCTTCAGACATAGGAAGATTGGACCATTTGATTAAAACCTGAGGTATCTCTTTGCCATTTTGCAACAAAAATCTAGAATCCAACATTGCTTCTGGTTGCAATATTGGGCCAACATCAGTAGTCAACAGTGGTAAAGGCATATATTGCTCCTTGTGATCTCCCTTGCACAACTTTAAATTCACAATATGAAAGACAGGATGGATTCGAGAAGAGGGAGGCAGCAATAATTTATAAGCTACAGACCCACCCTTTTGAATGACAGGAAATGGTCCAAAGTATCTCATACCTAACTTCTGATTTTGATGTAAAGATATGGAGTGTTGTCGATATGGCTGAAGCTTAACCAAAACCATATCCCCAATTTGTAACTCAGCAAACTTCCTCTTGGCATCAGCATATTTCTTCATAATTTGTTGCGCTCGATTGAGATTAGTCTTGAGAAGTTGGAGAGTAGTATCCCTTTCAGTCAATAATGCTTGCAGAGAGGGTGGATCATTGGATGTTGTATCATACTTGAGTATATAGGAGGATCTCTACCATAAACAACTTTGAATGGGGTCATGCCAATGCTGCATTGATAAGAAGAGTTATACCAAAACTCTGCCCAATCTAACAATTTAGACCATCGCTGAGGCATTTGTCCTGCAAAACACCTGAGATACATTTCCACACTTTTATTAACTGCTTCCGTTTGGCCATCAGATTGTGGATGATAGGCTGAACTCATTGCCAATGTAGTTCCACTAGCTTTGAAAAGATGCTTCCAAAAAGCACTTGTAAAGACTTTATCGCGGTCAGACACTAAGCTTTTGGGAAATCCATGCAGCTTGATCACAGTGTGTAAGAAGGCCTCAGCAACCTTAACACTAGTGAAATCAGATCGTAAGGAAGTTAAATGGGCATACTTTGAAAGTCTATCTACCACGACCATTATCACCGTAAAACCATTGGAAGGAGGAAGTCCCGTGATAAAATCCATCGAAATATCTTCCCATATTTGCGAGGGAATAGGTAGGGGCTGCAGTAGGCCACTAGGAGCTGTATTGGCAGACTTAGCTTGCTGACAGACTAAGCATTTGGAGACAAACAGATGGACATCACGCGATAAAGAAGGCCATGTGAATTGAGAAGCAATACGCGCTTTGGTACGGGCAATACCAGCATGACCTCCCAACATGGAATAGTGAAATTCCTGCAAAATGGATTGGACAAGTGAAGCCTTAGGAGGGACCACAATCTTATGCTTCCAATATAGAATGTCTTGTCTCACTTGGTACAAAGGGTTTGTATTAGTACTCTGCATACATTGGGCTTTGATCGCTGACAAAGACGGATCAACATTGATAGCAGAATTGATAACTGACAATAGCGGATTGATCGGTCCTGAAGATGCCATAAAGAAAGACCGAGATAGAGCATCTGCAGCTATGTTATCCTTGCCCGGCTTGTACTCTATAGTGAAGTCAAAGCCAAGAAATTTATGCAGCCATTTCTGTTGCTCCGGGGTTTGGATTGTCTGATCGGTGAGAGCCTTTAAACTTTGTTGGTCTGTGCGGATAATAAACGTATTGCCCAGTATGTAATGCCTAAATTTGGCCATGGCTTCTGTTACAGAATAGAGCTCTCTGACATATGCTGATTTTTTCTGCATAGAGGGATTGAGCTTCTTCGAAAAATAAGCAATAGGGTGCTTATCTTGACTAAGAATGGCACTGATCCCTGTCCCCGACGCATCAGTTTCCAAGATAAAAGGTTTGGAAAAATCAGGTAGTGCTAAAACAGGGGCGACCATGATGGCTTGTTGCAACGCAAAGAAGGCATCAGTGGCAGAAGGAGTCCACTCAAAGGCATCCTTCTTCAATAAAAGCAGTCAAAGGGGCAGCAATGGTGGCATAGTTTCTGATAAATCTTCTATAATAACCCGACAGCCCCAAAAATCCTCTTAGTTGCTTCAAATTTATTGGAATAGGCCAATCCAGTACAGCCTTTACCTTTTCTTTATCCATATGGACACCTTTATGAGAAATAGTGTGACCCAAGTAATCAATCTCAGTAAAACCTAAACAACATTTGGACCTCTTAGCAAATAAGGAGTGCTGACGCAGGAGCTGGAGTACTTCAGACAAGTGAGCTAAATGAGAAGACCAAGAGGGGCTGTATACCAAAATATCATCAAAAAACACCAAAATTGTCTTTCTTAGTTGGGCCTGGAACACATGATTCATGAGGCACTGAAATGAGGCAGGAGTGTTTGAGAGTCCAAAAGGCATGACTAGCCATTCATACAAGCCTTGTTGTGTTCTAAAAGCTGTTTTTGGTCTATCTTCTGGTCTTACTAGTATTTGATGGTACCCTGAGCGAAGATCCAACTTTGAAAAATAATGAGCACCATGGAGTTCATCTAATAGTTCATCAACCGTAGGGATGGGAAAACTGTCCTTGATAGTGATAGAGTTGAGAGCGCGATAATCAGTACAAAATTGCCATGAGCCATCTTTTTTTTTAACTAGCAAAACAGGGGAAGCAAAAGGGCTATTGCTAGGTTGGATAATACCTTGTGCCAACATGTCTTTAACCATGGTCTCTATTTGTGCTTTCTGATTGTGGGGGTACCTATAGGGTCGTACCTTGACTGGGTTACTACCTTCCACAAGGGTAATAGCATGATCATGGAACCTAGCTGGTGGTAATGACTTAGGTTCAACAAACACATCATTATAATTGTGTAAACGTGTTGTAATGTCAGGGTGCAAATCATGATCTAAAGTAGTATCTGCTGGTACAACTTTATCAAATTGCAAGGTAAAAGCTACATCAATAGCATGAGTGTGGTTCAGTCATTTGATGTGATGGAACTGGGCTAGGCTAGGACCACTAGGTTTGTCTCCATACAGTGTAACAAAAGTGTCCTTGACATAAAACTTCATAAAACTTCAAGGATAAAACATTGTAATCCGCAATATGTGGTCCCAAGGTTTTTAACCATGGTAGACCCAAGACTAAGTCTGCACCTAAAATCAGCAACAAATAAGCAGGAACATGGAGGGTATTACCCTGAATGGCTACTGGTAAATCAGCTATATAGCCCATAGTAGTCAAAGAATGGCCATTACCAACCAATACTTGAAACTGAGCGTTGGACTGAATTGGTAGTTGTAAGGATTGGGCAATCTTAGGCTGCAAAAAATTATCTGAACTCCCACTGTCTAAGAGAACAGTCACCGCAATGCCTTGTATTTGACCTTGAAAGCACATGGTTCCCATCCCGTGAGAACCATTTAAAGCATTCAGAGAGAGGTGATGCTCAGAATCCCCCAGGGAGGCTGAATCAAGTATGGTGTGCTCAATGGTGTCAGGTGGTGGATCGTTGTCATCATCATCCATTTGAAGAAGAAAATAATGACGGTTGGGGCATTTGTGGGTAATAGAGAATTTCTCATCACAATAATAACAAAGCCCTTTTTCACGGCGGAGTTGCATTTCGGCCTTGGTGATGTTTTTGACGGGGTGGCTTTTCTGCGGTGTTGAAATTGG